AATCAACAATAACTTTATCAGCCAATTTCTGAGAAATATTGTCATTTGCATTAGTAATTAATTTGGTTTGAATTGAATTGTTCTTTTTGGATGTAGAGTCGCCTTTACCAAAATTATTTAGATGTTTCTCCATTTCCTTAAAACTCATGAACAGTCTTATAAAATAAATATTATTAGAATGTAAAAATGGCAATTTACCTTTAGGTGTTTCTTGAGGTTGTAGCTACTGGATTGATTTGAGTAAATATTTTTTTTTACATTCAAATAAATTTGAAGCCAGTTTTGGATTATATATTTATTTTAAAAAAATTTCAAAGGGAATGGGAAATTTGTATTACAGTTATTAAGATCATTTTCTTCCCTGGTATCTTCGTTCTATTTCATTAATATCATTGTTTGAATCACTTTCAACAATTTGGATATCCATATGCGATGACATTTTAAATTATTAACACGTGATTTAGGTTTATAGTACAAATGAAAATATATATTACAAATTGATTTCAATTTCAAAATTAAATAATAAATCATAAAAGTTATAATTAATTATGATATTATATTTAAATTTTCATGTTTATACTTATCTTCATTATATTTTTTAAAAGTAGCTAAGTAACGGCTACTTAACTACTTTCAAAAAAAGTAGCGCGTTAAAAAATTAAATAATTACAAAAAAAGTAGCCGCTATTAACTATAGCTACCAAAAAAGTTAGCTTGTAGCGCGCTACTTTAACAACTCTGCTGTGCCGATTTTAAATATCGGATCAGATCGGCACCGATATTTAGCGTTTTCCAAAAATATCGGATCGAGCTGATACCTATAAAAATCCGATCTGATCCGATCTTTTTACTTTACTTTTTTTTATATTCTATGTTATGTATATTAATTTTACATTATTATATTTTCTAAATAATTTTTTTTAAATAATGCAAATGCACAACACCCACTATAACTTTTATTCTTTTTAAAAATAGATTAAAGTATTTTAAGAGTTTTTTTATAAAAATAGAAAGGAACACCCAAAATTTTAATTATTTTCAATCTTGTTAAATAATAACGCAAATTTTATTATTTTTCCTTTAAATAAAAGAATTTTTTTAAATATGTTATCTGAATTATGGAAATACTTTACAGACAAAGATAATTTTGCAAAATGCGTTATCTGCGGAATCATCTGAGTTTAAGTGTAGTACGGCAGGGGATAGTGATAATCCATATCGTAGAAGTTGCCAGAAAATCTAGAGGCTCTTGCATTTATTTTAAAAAATCTAATATATTATAATTTTATATATTAAATACAATTTTATAATTCATATCAACATAAAATGGATATATTATCAAATATATGTTTTAATTGTAGTCTTAATTGTAGAAATAAAAAAAATTAAATGCATAATTTGATTATTTGCATAAAAAATATTGATTTCTTAATTACATTTGGTTCAAAGGGGGATGGTGAAAAATCAATATAAATATAGAATCGGTATTATCAGTATCGGATCGGTTTTGTAGCAATATCGAATAGGTAAAAATATATGGATCAGGACAGCCATAAATATAAGCAATTAAATTATAGGGGAGACCGGGGTTATATTGTCCATAAAAAATTGAGAGGCTGTGAAAAGGAGGAGAAATAATTTATCAAAATAATTTTGATGTTATTTTATTCTTTATATAATTATCTACGGTAGAAATTAATATCTAATAAAAAAATATAATATATTTTTTTAAATTTAAATTTAAAAAAATGAAAATTTTTGAGTCATGAAAAAGAGACGGGGGATGTATTATCCTTTTGTGGGGCATGTTTTAGACTATCATTTTCTAAGCATTTTATTCATTTTTTTTCATATAAAAATCATAACAAACATGTAATATTAACATACAACACATTTATTACATATAAAAAATGGATTAAAATCACAACATGATCCATGTGCCCATAAATGACAATCCAATCTTCATTATGGTGGTGAGTTTGATAGTTTTTGTGGCACACTAAACAAAATTCTTTTTTGCCAGCATTCATATTTAAACTTTTTTTATTATTGGTTTGATTTTTTTTTCAAATTATTAGCCCTAGATCTGGCTATTTTTTTGTAAGGTGAAGAGGGGAGGGAGAGTCAATAGAACTATACCACTGTCAGAGCACAGCTCAATGACTTCAATAGATTGGTGAGATTTATGATTATCTAATATAAGCAAAACTTTTTTATCTTGACTGGGCTTAGTGTATTTTATAAAATGATTTTAAAAATATATAAAATCTTCAGCCAGCATCCACCCAGAACCATTAGACACGCCAATGCATCCTACAGGGCCATCTCTTAAATAATGATCATAAAATTTTTCCTGGGATATATAATAGGTGGAATAGAATTTCCTAGAGCATTGACAGAAATTGCCAAGGTCATAAGTGTACCACATTCTGATGTAGTAATTGCCACTGTTTTTCGCCTTTCCTTGCAATAACTTTATTAGGCCGTTGAACTGTTGTTAATCCTATGAAAATATTAAAGATTTGCTATCATATATATTTTAATTAACCAGTTTCATCCATATTATATATATCACATGGTAGAAAGTTATTTTCCCTTGTGACAGTCAAATAATTATTAAAAAATAAATCAACCATTTTCATATTAAAATTGGTAGCCCTGGCTATACTTGTAGTCTCTGGTGTTCTCAAAGAAATAGTTGGATTTCTTTTAATAAATGCTCCAACCCAGTCTTCACCAGCTGATTGAGTTATTTCACAAGATTTTGGTACTTGTAAACTATACCTCTTGGCCATTTGATAAGCTAAAACTCTAACCTAAATTTAAACATAAGACATTAAATTATTTATATATTAAGGCAATCTAATTAAAATCCTAATTCTTAAATTTTATTCTGAATTTATTTAATAATTAATATAATAAAATATATCATACATAATTAAACCTCTAATGTATAGGTAAGAACCAAAATATGTTTTAATGCATGATATAATTTAATGCTAAATCAATGAATAAATCATTTTAAAATTAATATACATGGCAGCATCATTTTATTTTAAATATATATCATACACACATAATTAAATCTTTAATATATAGGTAAGATATGATTTAATGCATGATATAATATATATAATGCTACATTGAATAAATCATTTTAAAATTAATATTAATACATGGCAGCATCATTTTAAAATTAATATATATACATGGCAGCATCATTTTATACATAAATGGCAACATCATTTTATTTACATATATATCATACACACTTAAATAAATATCATTCTAATGTATAAGTTAAATTCTTACTTTAAAGTATTTTAAAATTAATAAAGATGTTTCATTAACATATAATGTAAATAATTTTAAAAAATTTCTCAAGTTTATTATTATTTAACTAAAGAAATACCATGGCATAAATTTAAAGATTATAAAAAAAATCATTTTACAGAGATATATGATATAACAAAGGATTAAAATACTTGATTAGGGCATAATCCTGAAAATAATCTTGATCCTTTAATTAAATAATCTGTTAATTTAGCTTCTTGAATAGGAGAAAATACTGATCTGTAAAGATATCGCTCTTGAAAATCTTCATTTCTTTTGAACAATTTATTATACCTCTTAATGCTTAGTTTCTTAAATATATACTAATTTAAATATATAAATATACCTCACATAACTTAAATTCGTATTCATGGTTATAACTGTCAAAGGTATCTTATATTTCAGCATTTGAAGAATACTTGTCTTTTGATTATCATTATTTTCTTTGTTAGTTTTTCTAATATATGTTCGAACCATTTTACAAAATCAGAACCAATATTTTAATGAATGTATGTAAAAGGAAAAGACGCACCCCGCTAATACCTTCCCCAGGTCCACAGGATCATTTAAAAATTAAATTTAGAATATTAAAATAACATAATGATTGTCAATATTTTTATATATGATAAAATGGAGATTTTTTTATCATTTAGAATTTATATTAAGTCTGAACAACTTTTATAAAAAAAGTAATTCGTGAAAATGTAAAATTTAAAAAAGTTACTTTGGGTATGTTGAAACTTAAATTTGCATTTAAAATTTTTCATGAGCAATTTTGTCTGAAACAATTTTGGACCTACTTAAGCACCTTATTATAATACATATTTGGCTTAAATTACAAATCTTAAACTTTATTAATTTTTATATTTGAGAAGGAAATACCTACCCCGGGAACACACTATCCCCGGTCTCCCCTACTAAAGTATTGGGCTTGGAACCAACATTAAAAACCCAAGATTAACAAAATATTGGTATTGGTTCAAAGTATTATATTGAGTTTTTTATATCTTCTATTTCTTGTTTTAGTATTGCTATTGGTTTGACTATAATTGTTAATAAATTTAAAGAATAAAAAATAGTAATTTTAAAAAACTTTGTTTAAATAATATATTATTGAAGTATAATAATAAATGAATATAAAAAAAAATCTTATTTTGAATCATTATTTTTATGTTCCCTGAACCCAGACCCAAATCCTAGACACGGGTCCTTTCGAATTTTATTCATGTACCTGAATCCTTTTTTTTTGTTGAAGGGTTCACATCCCTGGTTAGGAGGCTGAAATTTTGACTATTTCTTAGTTACATTGATCTTTTTTTGCTTCTAACTTGTCTTAGCTTAAATAAATTAGTTACAAATTTTATGTTCATTTGTCCAAGCAAACTAATTTGGAATTTTTATGTTTGAAAAATAGTTTTTTTTTAAATTCAACGGTAAAATTATCAAGTAGAAGAAATTTATAAAAAATCTCAAACCTTATTTTTATATATATTTTTAAAAGTATTTTAATGACATGATTCCAAAATTTCGTTGGTTATTAAGAATGATTCTGTTCTTTTTTTAGAAGGTAACAAGAAATGTCAAATTTAGTAACATTTATCATAATGAAAAAAATTGTGCATAAATAAAATTTTAAAAGAAGTATATTTTGAAAAATAAGAATGAAATAAGATGTATATATGGTTTATTTATTTATATATTATTATTTTCAAGACAAATTGTGTTATACATTTCTATGTTATAATAAAATTGACAAGTAATATATTTCTTTATACAATTTATAATAATGTCTTGGAATCAACGTTTTTTAGCTAATGCAATGCCTAATCCTATTAAAGTTCCAGCTAAAAGTGCTCCTGCTCCTACTATAGCCATCCCTAATAAACCGTCTATATTAATAATTATTATTTAAATGTATATTTTTGAATGTACTGCAAACTCTGCAATCTGAATCATTATTTATGAATAAATGTGTTTAGCATAAGTATCTATCTATCTATATCAAAATCTTCTACCCTAATATTATAATAAATGTGTTTAGCATAAGTATGTCTATCTATATAAAAATCTTCTATCCTAAATACAATATTATAATAAATAAATTTTAAAAGTTTTTTGTCTATGCCAAACAATTTTAAAAATGTCAAATATGAGTGCATTACCAAGTCTTACATATAGTTATAAAAAAATCTAGTTAAATTTTAAATATAAACCTTCTTTCATTTGCTGCCTTATTTTAGCTTGCAAATCTTCTACTTGTCTATTGTTGGGCTCCGCTTTAAGAATACTATTTGTAAACTTGAGGGCTTTTTCATAATTCTGAACAATATTTATTTTAAATCTTTTTTTTTTACTTTTAATTTAGTAAATGCAACTGCTAAATAATAAGCATAATCTCTTTTCCTTTCAGAATCATCAACAGTTAGAAATAGATCTTAAAAAAAATTTATATATTAAAATTTATCTAAAACTTTCTAAAATAAAGGCTCCTCTTTCCCAGTTATTTTTATTTCCTGTCTCAAGCAGGGCTACTGCTTGATGAAATTGAGCATCATGATCAGTGGTCATTTTATAGATGTAGGTTTTCTTTAAAAAATAAAGTGACAAACAATAACAAATAAAATTTATGTATCATTTAAATATTTACATTTGATTGATATCTGCTATGTATCTGGAATTTTGTATAACTATAATGGGATTCTTTTAATGTTTTGTATTTCCTAATAAATTGATAATATCTCAACTCAAGGAATTTTCAACTGAGGGAGATTTTTTAATTGGATGAAATATAATCTCAGACATTTTGGTGAAAATCAGATGATTATATTTTTATTAGGAGTTCGTGTTGAATTCTTATCTTTTTAATAGGGGTTGGCCTTCCCATTAGTGGGAAAAAATATATGATTGGTATTTTATGTAATTCTGCACTTTGGTATAACATATAGAAAAATAAATTAACTATACTTAGGCAAATCATGAAAGACCAACATTACGATATCCTCCTTTTACAGGAGACCCACCTTAAAGTAACTGAGGTAAGGAACTTCTTAGATTACACCTTATATTGCAGCTCAAATGCAGAACAAGTATGGGCTGGGGTGGCGATTATGATACATAATAAACTAATAAGATTCGTAAGCTTCAACCCAATTTCCAGCCGAATATGCTGCCTTACCCTAAACTTAGGATACAAAAAAGTCCATTTGTTTAATATATACGCGCCTCACAATGATAGCGTTTTCTATATGGAATTGGAGAATGCCTTAAAGGAACTACCGCATCTGGATGGCATCATTCTAGCAGGTGACTTCAATGCTTCGGTAGGTAAATCTAAGAACTCTTCCTGCCTTGGAAACGCCACATTAATACAAAGCACGAACCCCAACGGTAAAAGGTTAATAGAAATCTGCGAGCTTTTCAACTTGAAAATTGGAAATACTTTCTTCAATCATCCAACTCATCATATCATGACTTACAAGAGTCCTTCCTTTGGCACTACCTCACAGATAGATTTCTTTGTAATTTCCACTAAGATTTTCAAATGGGTGAAAAACATCAGGGTAATCAGTAAACTAAACCTTGCACTTTTTACGGATCATTATCCACTGGGCTGTGAACTCAAAATTAACAACAGTATCTTCCCAAACCACACTAGACAGAACAGTCTCACCACTGTAAACAACATAGCTAGGCAAGACTTGGCACAACTAAATGACTTAGAGGTGAAAGAAGAGTTCGTCTCTAAATTAACATCATGGAGAAACACAGTAAATGGCATGATAAACCCAAATCTGACCTGGAAGGACATTAAGCTGAATGTATTAGGTAGTATAACATCATGCTTAAGACCACGCACCAAGCGCAGAGAGTGGCTCACCCCTTCAACAATACAAATAATTAAGAATCTTACAACAAATATATCCCACCATCAATTCGCAAGACATCATAGGAGGTACATTACTCACCGCATAAGAGCTGACAAAAGACTGTTTATTGCTAACTTCTCGAATTCTATCCAATTCAATTTTGATAATAATAATATTTATAAGGCCTTCCAATCTCTAAAACTACTCACCACCTTTAAAACCAATCCTTTACCAAGACTACAGTTAAATAACAACAAGATTATAACTGACCCTAAGGAACAATTAGACTTATGGATAGACCACTACATGAACCTCTACAAAACGAGATGGCCTAGACCTAGATGTGACTACCCCTTCCAATCACCCAGTCAGAATTTGAACAAGTCCGATATAGTCGGTGCCATCAAACGTCTAAAAATGCATAAAGCTGCTGGAGCTGATGGAATTTTTGCAGAACTCTGGAAGATAGAGGTAGACCTAAGTGCCAGCTTACTACTTCCCCTCTTTAGGGAGATTTGGAATACGGGCAAGTTTCCTAAGGAATGGATGACATCAATTATACTAAACTTCCCTAAAATAAAGTCCCCAAACTGCCTTAAAGATTACAGAGGTATTGCACTGATTCCAGTCACACTAAAAATGTTCACATACATCATATCAGTCAGGATTAAACCAATCATTAACAGGTTCCTTTCTAATGCTATTACATCATACAGGAAGGGCAGAAATATTACGGAGTTGACTATGGCACTTAAGGTCATTCTGGAAAAGGCCAGAATGCATAAAACCCCCATCTTTGCCCTGATGATTGATTTAAGTCAAGCCTTTGACTCCATAATTCAGAATAAAATATGGCCCTTGCTGGAAAACATTGATATAGATAAACATCTGATAGCGCTAATTAAGATAATTTACGACAATCATAGCGTAGTTCCTCAGCATCTAAATATGAAGTCGCAACCTTTTAAAGCAAATAGGGGCCTCAAACAAGGATGCATCCTTTCACCGATTATTTTTAATGTAATAATGAATGATATCCTAAATAAATCCTTTAAACAGGAATATGCACTCAACACATATTACAGTGATCAACAACACCTCAATTATATGCACAACTCTTTAAACTTTCTATGTTATGCTGACGACGTATGTATTCTAGTCAACTCAGAATACAAATTAAGAAATATTTTATCATTATTTGTCAACAACTGTGATGGATATGGTTTAAGAGTAAACTACACAAAAACCAAACTGATCACCTCGAATACTGATGCGAGTCACTTAAACCCCTTTAACTTTGAAGGTAATACGATAGAATTAGTGTCAGATTTTAAATACCTAGGAACCAGGATAACGTCATTAGGCCTCACCTTTTTAGATACTAAATCGAGAACGAATAATGCTAGACTCCGCTATCATCAACTGTCGAAATTATGGTCATCCAACCAAATATCAACTAATTTAAAAATAAATTGTACCCATTTTTACCTACGGCCTGGAGACTTGGCAAGACTCAAAAAGTTCATCTGAAATATCTTTGATGCGAAAGAGTTTTCTGATAGACCTTTTGCAATTATTAAGCTTTATAAATTGTTTCATGTTTACATTCAGCTCCATCACGTCTTTTATTGCTTTGTAATACCATAACGATTTATATTTAGTATACTGTTTCCCTTTATGTGTATATAACCAAACGATAGCATCATGTGCAAGGTTGTGATCTGAATTTCTTATTATATGGGCTAGGAACTGTATCCGACGTTTTTTTAACGTAATATTTATCGAAGTGTGGTTAGATTTCCTCCAGAGGTTAGAGTTAGAGATGACTCTGGGATAAAAAATACCATTTATAGTTCTCAGACAATTATTTATAAAGGATCGAATGCGTCTTAAGTCAGTCTTGTTAACTTCCCATATGTCACTTCCATATAATAAAATGGGGATAATAGTAGAGTTGAATAGCCTCAACCTCCTAAAAACCGATATTTCCTTAGACTTCCAGATTTTCATGTACATATGGAACGCTCTTTGGCTTTTTGCGTTCTAATCTTCATTTCCTCTTTACATTCTCCCTTGTTATTGAGCATCACACCCAGGTATTTGATATTATCTACTTTTTTGATAACGTTCCCGCCTACCAAAAGATTTTGGAGTGGTGGTGTATTTGGCGAGGAAAGAATAACCGTTTTATTGAAATAAATTTTTAAATCAACTCTGAGGCTTATGGTTTCGATAAGGTAGATCAGACTTACAGTCTCTTCAATATTTTTTGATATTACAACAATATCGTCGGCATACGAAACGATCTTATTAACAAAGTGAAAATTTTCATTAGACCCAAAGTCAGCCAAGTCTGCAGCAGCATTTACCTCCTTTATGACTTTATCTATTATGATGTTACAGAGAAGTGGTGATAAAGTGCAACCTTGTTTTACTCGCTTTTTTATCTTGAAGGAGGGTGATATTTTATCGTTTGTTTTAAAACATGAAGTTAATTTGGAATAATGATTCCTTAAGATGGAGATAATATTTTGTTCGATACCACACTCTGATAGTGCTACCCATAAGGCGTTATGGTCTACATTATCGAAGGCCCTACTAAAATCGATAAAAGTGTAATAAGACGGAATCCTGTATTTCCAGCACTTTTGCATAATTATTTTCAGCGATAAAATAGGTTCCAAAATGTTTTTATTTGGCCTATATGCACAGATATATTTAGAAAGAAGAGGGGGTGTAGAAGTTAAGATCCTCTTCTTGATGAGTGTCATAAAGACTTTCGATACACAGGAGGTCAGAGCTACTGCCCGATAGTCCGCGAATTTCTTAGGTTCCTTAATTTTCGGGAAGTTGCACAGGAGAGATTTATTCCATTCTGTCGGAGTTTTCCCACTTTCCCAAATTTTGTTAAAGAGAGCAAGGAGAAAAGAAGAGATTATGTTCGGGGATATTTTTAAATATTCAGCAGTAATGTTATCCAAACCCGGAGCTCTATTGTTCCGTAGTTTCTTTACGATGTTTGAAATTTCATTTGAAGAGAAACCAGCCGGGGATATAATTGTATGAGAATTCATAGTAGTTAAAGGAGTAGCCTTGCGGGAGTCTAAAATCGACATATAATGATCCAGCCACAGTGCCATTTGCTCATCTTGGTCTGTTATGGTTTTCCCATTCGCTAAGACAATCATAGGAAGTTTCACGAAGCAACTGGATTTGCAGAAGTACTTTAATTTTTTATATGCATCGTAGATCCTGTTCTCTTTCATATCTTTGTCAATGTCAGCCGCCCTTTTAGCAATAAAAATTCTCCTATCTTTCCGTAGTAATTTTTTAATGTCTTTCCATAAATCAATGTTAGAGCTGTTCGTCATTCTTAGTTGATATATCTTCTCAAGAGTTTCATCAGACATCCATTCTTTCCTAGATACAAGATTTACGTTTGGCAGTCTCTCATAAGATTCTGCTAGTTCTTTCTTAAAAAGTTCCCAGCAAACTTCAACGTTTCCATTTCTGGTAGCATTAATAAAGGTTCCTTTTTTCGAAATAAGGGATTGTTCAAAGAGAGTTTTGTTTCCTTGCAATAGAAACTTATTTGCTTTACGTGGAAAAATTATATTGGACGAGGTAGCATTGACGGCCATTAAGTTAGGAATACTATTATTGTGATATCCCCAGATGTTTTTTATTTTTATACTGCAATAACCATCTTATGATCAGATATGTTAACCCTGGTAGATGCTTTAACATCCACAAATCAACTATGAATATTGGAAATAAAGAAGTCAATTTGAGATATCTGTCTGCCCCTCACAAAGGTATATTTGTTGATATCACGATGGCAGAAAAAAGTATTTTCTACCTTAAAGTTTTTGTTACTGCAGTAATCTAGGAATTTTATGCTGTCTACATCATTAGATTGTTG